AAGCGTTGGCTATGGGTACATGAGGGAGGAGGAGGGGTGGTAAAGCTTGTGACATGATGTCCGAGCAGACGGGTGGATGGGTGATTCAAATAGGGGGGTGGGGGTGGATACTTCTGAAAGTCGGGGATTACTCGGGAACTCATCGAGGGGTGGGTGGTGACTTCTCGAATCGTCGCTTTACCGCGTCGTATGACACGAAGTACACTCTTTTTATGATGTCCAGACCTTCTCCTCCCTCCCTACCTCCCTACCTCCCTACCTGACCGACTGTCTGCATGCCTCCCTACCTCCCTACCTCCCTACCTCCCTACCTACCTACCTGAGCGACTGTCTGCATGCCTCCCTACCTCCCTACCTCCCTACCTACCTACCTACCTGACCGACTGTCTGCATGCCTCCCTACCTCCCTACCTCCCTACCTCCCTACCTGACCGACTGTCTGCATGCCTCCCTACCTCCCTACCTCCCTCCCTCCCTACCTCCCTACCTGACCGACTGTCTCCATGCCTCCCTACCTCCCTACCTCCCTACCTCCCTACCTCCCTACCTACCTGACCGACTATGTGATGAACAGATTGCACAATCGTCAAGACTTGTTCCTACCAAAACCTTCAAACCTATAAGCCACACAAATCTGGCTGACCGCGCAGGAGAAGCTCGACATCGTCTGCCTCTACTACTCCGCCCCAGTGTCTCCAACGACGCTAGCAAAATGATGAGTTCCTCGCAAACTTCTTATTATTGAAATTTAAACATTTTGGAATTGATACAGATTGAAATCGAGGCTTGTTACTCATTTTATAATAAGCCTTCAATTGGATTTCGCAGAAGGTTTCGAAAACGCGCCCTTCCTCCTCCTCTATCCCCTGGGTTCACTCCTTCGTTCACCCGGTACCTTCACCCCTCCTCTATCACTGATTTAGAGGGGTACGCAACAACTCTGAGATTATTATTTCTTCGTGTACGTTGTCAACTCAAAAAAAAAAAGTTTACTTCTTACAATTCACCAGGCTTTAAAAGTCACAGGACGTGATCCCATCAGTCGTAGTAAAGCGACGCTTCGGCGCTCACAGCCTTTCATGTGGACTAGACCTCCTCCACCCTTCACCACCCCGCTATTCCCCATCCATATCACCGGTACGAGATATCTTTCAAGACACTCCCTGCATGCCTTCCTGTCAGCACGGGGAATATCGCACACAAGGTTCCTCTCCCCACCCACGCCCACGACCTGCTCCTCCCCATCATCTGACGCATTGCTCCCTTCCTTTCTTCCTCGACTCGGAAAGCCTCTGTCCTTCCTGCCCTCCCTGATGTCTCCCCCTCTCCTCCTCACGCTGTCCTCCTTCCTCCTCGACGACCCCTCCCTCAACCCCTCCTTCCTCCTCCCCATCGACCCCGTCGATGTCTCAGAACCCTCTTTCACCTCTCTAGACCGCTGCTTCTCCTCGTCTACTTTAGACATCTTCAACTCCCTTCTGATCCCTGGCACTCCCTGCACAATACCTGTCCCTGACCTCTCCCTGGCCGACGACCCCTCCCTCGACGTCCTCCTGCCTCTCCCCGACGACACCGCTCCCGTGGAAGCCTGCCGGGGCCCGGAGACCAGCCGCTGGGACGCGGCGGCGCGGAGCAAGCACAGCTCGGCGTGCAGGGGCAGGAGCCGGCTGACCGCGCAGAGAAGCTCGACATCGTCTGCCTCTACTACTCCGCCCCATTGCCTCCAACGGGGAAACGGGCGATGCGGCAGCGA